TGTCATGTTAATTCAGTATTACGATTGCAAGAGAGTAGAGGAAGTAAATAATGTGTGTATAAAATGCTAGAGAGTAGAGGAAGTAAATAATGTGTGTAAAAATCTTATGTAAAAATCTGAATTTATAGTAGTGTGAATTCAATTCAAAGTTAGATGTAGTAAATTTAAATTTAAAAGTGTGATAAGACCCTTGCATGGCACTATAGTAGCTTGCATGCATGCAAACTAATAGGTTGATTAGGGTTCCTACACAATGTTGTTTGCATGCCATACAACTTCTGCATAAAGATCACAAGCTCGTCCTTGGATTGGATGAGCTCCTAAAGGATATCACTAGCTCGTCCTTTCAATGGACGCACACACACTATAAGTCAAGAGCTCGTCCTTTCAATGGACGCACACACACACTATAAGTCACAAGCTCGTCCTTGGAATGGACGAGCTACAAGTCACAATATTCCACACCTTTTCTCATATTCGTCTTATATAGTTGTTGGTTCCCAAAATATATGTATCATTTTATTTATACACATCAATAGTCTACAATTCTATATTGACTACCAAAAACTTATATTGTACACATCAATATTCACTACCAAAAAATTCTATTTTACACTCCAAAATGTCCCAGAGAAACATAATTCTCACATGCCACTTTAACGGTGTTGTTTTAGCAAATAGCCCTGTTGGATTCTCGTTCAGCAACACAAATACATATGCCTTCAAAATTCATGTCAGTTCTGATTTTTTTCATTTTAAAGATAAAATGGAAAATAAATGGCACGAAGCGTTGAGGAAATAATTTATCGCCATCCAACACTTAATGAAGACGACTGTACCATTTTTTACATAATAACGCCGATCAGGAACGACGAAGATGTGAAGGCAATGTTTCGGTGCCACATGATGTTTGGTCAGTTACCTACAATTGAGTTGTATGTCCGACTACTAGACAATCCCGAAACATTTCTGACGCAAGAGACACAATCACACTGGTACGGGATGAGTCAAACATCCGACGACGAACCAACACAAAACAACTTACCTTTCATACCAAATGAGGAGGTTGGAGAGGCAAGCGATGATGATAGTCAGGAGGTCAGGATGCAAGATATTTTTGGTGACAGTGATGACGAAGACAATGAAGATATAGTTGTCGCGTCTATGCAGCCGATCCGTGCGCAACCCATAAGTTTGTACAACCCACTTGCGCACATGTAAAATATATGTTTCGAACACGACGATACAACCTCCGTGTTTGGAAGTGCTATTCAAAACCATATAGGTGACGAAATAGAGATTGGGATGGAGCTCGAAAACAAGGAAGCTTGCGTCCTCGCTCTGCAGCATTGGCACATAACACACAGTGTGGACTATTGGTGTATCAGTCTGACAATGAACGATATGTCATTAAGTGTAAGAAACAAGACTGCAATTTCAAGTGCAGAGCTTCCTTGAGAAAAAAGAACTCGAAATGGGTGATCGGTAAGTTGTCTGGGTCTCACACATGCACTACAACGTCTATGGCACAAGACCATAGGAAGCTCAGTTCAGAAATGGTTAGCCATAGCATCAGAGAACTTGTCAACAGCGACGCCTCACTTAAGGTAAAGGTGATCATTGCCCATATTCTTGAAAAATACGGGTACATTATATCTTACAGGAAAGCATGGATCGTTAAGTGCAAGGCGGTAGAGTCACTTTATGGCAATTTAGAAACATCTTACAACGACCTACCGCAGTGGATACTGGTAATGAAAACCTTCCTTCCATGAACCGTTATAGATTTGCAAACCCTACCTGCAATATCAAGTGATGGTTCCCAAATCTCTGGAAAACGAATATTTCATCGTCTGTTTTGGACATTTTGTCCGTGTATACGTGGCTTCGCCTACTATAAGCCTATTGTGCAAGTAGACGGAACTTGGTTGTATGGAAAGTACAAAGGAACTTTATAGATGGCGGTGGCACAGGATGGCAACGCAAATATTTTCCCAATAGCATTCGCATTGGTCGAAGGTGAAACATAGGAAGCATTGAGCGTTTTTCTGAGGAACCTGAGATTACACGTGACACCACAACCTAATTTGTGTCTAATATCTGATAGACATGAATCGATAAAGAGTGCATACAACAATCCCGAAAACGGATGGCAACATCCACCATCTTCATATGTCTACTGCATAAGACACATTGCTCAGAACTTCATGCGCGAGATTAAGGACAAAGATATACACAAAAAACTTGTTAACATGGGTAACCAAATACATTTCACTTATCTCAAGTTTTGTACCACACTTTTATCATTTTTTCACACAATTTCTATTACAGGTTACGCATTGACGGAGGCTAGATTTAATTACTATCACGGAGAAATCAGAAGAACAAACATTGAGACTTAAAATTGGATAGACAACATTCCTAGGGAGAAGTGAGCTAGAGCATTTGACGGAGCGCAACGTTGGGGACATATGACATCTAACTTGGCAGAGGCCATAAACTCTGTACTAAAGGCAACCAGAAACCTTCCAATCACTGCATTGGTCCAATCTACATACTATCAAATGGGTTCACTCTTTGGTAAACGAAGACACAAATGGACCAAAATGCTATCTTCAGGCAAAGTTTTCACAGATGGTTGTAACAGGGGAATGACTGATGAGGTAGCCAAGGCTAACACACACAACGTCATGCAATTTGATCGTGAAAGATTCTGTTTCATGGTGCAGGAAAAGATTAATTACAACGATGGTCGTCCAACGGGTACTTTCAGCGTTGACTTGAGGAATCGTTTCTGTGACTGTGGAAAATTTCAAGCATTTCACTTGCCTTGCTCCCACGTGATAGCGGCATGTTCTAGCATACGACAGGACTACACAATTCACATTCCAGAGGTCTTCACAATTCTTAACGTATTCAAAGTCTACAAGGAAAGCTTCCTGGGACTACCGCACGAGGAGAACTGGCCAAAATATGAAGGTTTTACTCTGTGACACGACGATTCCATGAGAAAAAATAAAAAGGGGCGTCCAAAAAGTAGTAGAATTAGAACTGAGATGGACGACGGAGAAAAAGAGAAGAGAAGGTGTGGGATTTGCAGAGAAATAGGTCATATGCGTAGAAAATGTCCCAATGTTGTCGGTCCGTCAAACCGACCGAATAGATAATTTGATTGTACTACTTTTGTATGTGATCCATCAATTATTTTTAATTCAAAACAACTTTCAAATTACAACAATAACAGCGAACTACAAACATAAAGTGGATCCGTGACTCCACAAACTCAAAAATAAAACTCATGAAGCTAACATAAACTCTAACCAACAACAGCGACTAACACAAGTGGATATGTGACTCCTCTGTTGACTTCGCCACTATGTGCTGAAAACATGCAATGGACATCTTCATCATTTTCTATACGATCTAAGTAGTACATGTACGTCCCCTTCGGGCTAGCATCAGTAAGCGTTATATATGGACAACGATACTCCATTTTTCTCACCGTCACGCAACGACCGCCCAACTGCCGAAACCCGGTGTTAATTGCTGCAACCACGGTTCTGAAATTCCACAGCGGATCTAGATAAACACTGATTTTTTTCTATGGTCCATAGAAAACAAGAGCTTGCACAGACATTTTTATAAATCAGATAAGTTGACAGGAATGATATTTGCTAATGCGCAATACGCTTATTTATAAAAAAAAATTACGTTTGAACTCGGTCATTCAATGACCGAGAGTCTTTAAAAAATTACGTCAACATTTTAATATTTAAAATTAAAATTGTTAATAACATTTTAATAATTAAAATTAACTATTTAACATTTTAGTAAATCATTAAATAATTAAAATCTGAAATTGTTATTAACATTACTCTTTTAATAATTAAAATTAAAATTGTTAATAACATTATCATTTACCTAATTAGAATTAAAATTATTAATAAACAAAATTCTTACATTTATCATTAATTATTAATTATATAATTTATTAATTATTAATTATATAATTTTTATATTTATCAAAATCTTTAAATAATTAAAATAAAATAAAGAACTTCACACGCTTGTCCACTGGGTGGACGAGTCCACAAGGTCCAACTTGTCCAACACTAGCTCGCCCAACCAGTGGACGAACCTACACCCCTAAATTTCGTTCAGCACTAGCTCGCCCAATTATTGGACGAACTTGTTTGAAAATGAGGTACATTCGTAAATAGTTTTAAAAATAGGGCATTATGAAATTTATTTTTTCAGTTTAGGGCAGAACAGTGAAAAAATCGGAAAAAAAAAAAGAAGAAACAAGTATCCATATTCTACGTGATTGCAAAGCACCGTATATACACCATATCAAATACCGTATATACACCATATCAAATACAAATATACAATGATCTGTTGAATGATTTGTATTAAAATAAAATAAGAAAGTAATGTTTTTTTAATGTAATAAAAACAAAACCGTATTAGAATACGGTGTTGGTGTCAACTTGGGTGTTAAAATATCAATTCTCAATTGCAAATAGACAAAAATTTAACATAACTGTACAGCAATTATAAAAACTATTCCTGGTATATGTGTCCAAATAGTAAAATTATTTATTCTCTTAACAAAAACCCATTCCGTAATAAATCCATTCCAGCGAAATCAGCCATATATACATAATCTAGGTAGGAAAAAACAAAAAACACCTTAGAAAAAATAGTACTAGTGTCTATATGTAAATGATGAATCCCATATTTGCATTTGATGTTCTAAGCAACTTTTTAAGTATACTATCTTTATGTATACGATGAATCTCATATTTGCATTTGATGTGCTAAGCAATTTTCTATAACTTATTAAAAATAGTACCGCTATATTTATGTAGGTCAAATATATCAATTTTCCATAACTTATTGGGATGCATGAACCAACACACAGACCTTAAAGGTTGTCTATAAAAGCACAACATACCCAATATCTTACAAAAAAAACATACGGAAAAAGTGCTTGTGAAATGGCAAAACCTTTTTCAAATGATTCTAGTGCAGTCACCATCGTCTCAGAATGCACTGTTTTCCCAGACAAGAAATCATCTCTTGGAGACTTAAAACTCTCTGTCTCAGACCTCACCATGATATGTGCTCAATACATCCAAAAAGGCTGTCTCTTCACAACTCCATCTCTCCCCTCTGACACTCTCATTCCTCACCTTATTGCTTCTCTCTCTAAAACCCTCTCTCTCTTCCCTCCACTCGCTGGCCGTTTCGTAACCGACTCCGACGGTTACATCTACATCTCATGCAACGACGCTGGCGCTGATTTCATCCATGCGACCGCCACTCACCTCACTATCACCGACCTTTTGTCACCACGTGATGTCCATGCCGCCTTCAAGCAATTCATCCCGTTTCACTGTAAAATCAACTACTCCGCTCATTTCTCACCAATCTTGGCTATTCAGGTCACCTACCTCGCCGACGGAATCTTCATCGGTTTCGCCGTATCTCACGCTGTCACAGACGGTACTACCGTCTGGAACTTCTTTAACACGTTTGCTGACATTTCCAGGGGAGTCACACAACCTACGAGAATACCGGACTTCCGCCGGGATTCCATTCTGAACTCAAAAGCCATCCTTCGTTTATCTGAGGACGACATCAATCCGACGTCCAAAGCTGACGAGCCTGTTCGTGAAAGAATTTTCACTTTCACACTCGAAGCAATTCAGAAGCTAAAAGCAAGAGTCAATCGCAACCGCACATCGCTGGCGGAGATTTCGTCGTTTCAGTCACTGTCCGCTCTAATGTGGCAATGTGTTACACGCGCTAGGAAACTTGAGGGTAGTAAAAGAACGACAGTTAGAATGGCTGTGAATATTCGTAACCGTTTGGAGCCGATGTTATCGGAGTATTATTTCGGGAACGCGATTCAGAGCATCGTGACATATGCATCTGCTGGCGATGTTGTTGATAGAGATCTTACGTGGTGCGCGGAGCAGTTGAATAAAAATATTAGGGAGTACAATACTGATGTGGTGAGGCGCGTCATAGAGAATTGGGAGCGCGAGCCAAAAGCTGTTAAGATGGGGAATCACGATGGTGGGATAGTGCAGATTGGCAGTTCGCCTTGGTTTCCTATGTATGATAATGATTTTGGATGGGGAAGGCCGTTGGCGGTGAGGAGCGGCGGAGGGAATAAGTTTGACGGCAAGATGTCGGCGTTTCCGGGGAGGGAAGGCGGCAACGCTGTGGACTTGGAGGTGGTTTTGGCGACAGAAACGATGGGGATACTTGAGAACGATCCTGAGTTCTTGCTGTACGCTTCTTGTCAGAAATGAAACGTGTCATAATTTTGAAGGGCGTAACTGTCACTTCCTATCTCATAGGTGTTGCTGTTTTTTAAATTTTAAATAAGGTTTGTTGCAGAATAAAGAGTAAAACTGAGACGGTGTAACGGCTCTTTGCGAACCATTGTGACCTATCACCTTATCAGTTTATCACTTACTAGTATTAGGTTTGTAGCATATATTTCACGGGTTCCTTGAAGTTGGAGACTGATTATCATTTAATTGAAGGGCGATAAGTTGGAGACCGATTATCTTTTTTTGTTCAAACCATTGCAATTGAATTGACTAATCATCTAGTAATATTTCGATGGGAGGTGTGTTTCCACGCTTAGCCTAAAATCATTAGCAAATTCCGACGTCAAATAAGAGTTTGAATTTATTCTTCAGGCCTTAATTATAATAAAAAATAATTATTTATTAAGAATAATATTAAGTTTTTTTAAACTTTATATAAAAAATTAATACTGATTATGTGTGCGTTTGTTTCTGCGGTGGAAAACCCAGTAACATGCGTTTGATTCAGAAAATACATTTTGTAATTTTTGATTTTTATAATAAATTATATTTAAACGTGCGGTGACGATGACATAGAAACTAATATAAGTATACTATATAGTGACTTTGGATAAATTTTAATGTAACTTAGGAAAAACTTGATGTTATATAAGACTAGAAAATATGATATACCAATTTAAAAATTTAGTTTATTTTATCTTTTTAGTAGAAGTTGTTATGTTTATAAAATATTCATTTATATTCATAAAACATAAAATATTTGTTCTCAACTATACAAAAGACTCAATAAAGAAAATGACTTACTAGACTCTGTGCGGAGGATAGAAGTATTATCCTAGAGTATGAAGTTGATAATCGTAACTAAAGATTAATCCGAGGATTCTCACATTTTACTTTGATAAATTAACAAGTTATTATAACCGCTCTACAATACAAAAAGGAGAATGCATCATTTTTTTCATTTAAGAATCAAATCTCATTCGCTTCATCTCATTCTCTTACTTTAGTATCGAAATGCTAACCTTGCAGGTTAGCCAATTCTCCATTGTATCGGAAGCTCGAATCCGCAATTGCGATCCACATCAACAATTCACCGATCAATTATAGTTCTAGTATAAAACAGTGATGTCGTTAATGAGAATTGTTATTTGATTCATGCGTTTGTTCACATTCAAACATTCATCTCTTGATTTAGTGAATTGAAACTTATTCGACATAGAAATTCAAATCTCTCAAGTTTGAACCATAAGTCTCTATTCTCGATCTTCTCCGATTGAATATTTGTATTGTTTCTTGTATCTCCTTTCAGATCCACAAGTTATGGCAGGTTCCAGAGCTATTATTATGTTGCACGACGCGAAGCACCCGCAACCGCTGAAGCTACCAAAGATCCACTGTCTCTTCCTCAAAATGGTAGCGATCAAGTCTTCGTGGATTCTTCATTTGTGCCATAGCTTAAAGATCATGTCCAACCTAAGACATCTTAAGGCGTTTTTCAAACTCTCTCGTTCTTAAGATCCGCTCCGCAGTTTTAACCAAGTGATCCATCTCTTAGGTTTCTAGCATCGTTGGCAGTACCTAGACCAGAAGTGCTACCTAATTTCTATTTATTGCAAGCTAACCCGTGTATACAAGGTGCTAACGAATTGTTGAATGTGGTTCGACAACATAATTCAAAAGCCATGGAAGAAAAATTACTTTGCATCGAAGAAATTTTACACCGCACAAATTCAAAGTGTAACATAATATAAGAGGTTGTTTCCTGGAGGACATTGTTTAGTCCATTCTTACACGAATACAAATTAGCGCTTAAGCCTCCCCATTCACGAGCATACAACTAAATATTTGAATTGTTAGAATGTGATCAAACAAGATCTTTTCTATCGCAAAACAAACAAATGCTAATTCACCCCTTTGCGAGTAAACAAGCCAATGTTTAACCATTAAAATGCAACCTAATCATTCGCTCATTAAAACACATCAATCAACACTCTTGCCTACCAACAACTACGTAGTTTTGCGTTCTTCATCACACTTTGAGATACGGAGGAGCGAGATTCACGTCTCATCAAGTACTATAACAAAAACATCAAAAATATATTTTGCTTGCCCAAATTACAAAGTTTTGAGTTTCTTATTGTACCCGAGGATACGTAGGAGCAAGACCCGCAATCTCGTCAAGCACGTTAATAAAAAAAATTGTGAATCCTTTATTTTCCTTTTACACTTTCAATAACCCAAAGAAAACAATTAACGTAAGCTAACATTCAATCGCAAGTTTAACTAAAAGGTTCTCGTTGAGTACAACGGGCATGAGGGGTGCTAATACATTCCTCTTGCGTAATCGACTCCGAAACCCAAATTTGGTTGCGATGACCATCTTCTTTTTTAAGGTTTTATCGATATTTTTCTATACACTCGTTCGGATAAATAACATTCGGTGGGGACTCTATTCGATATCATTTTCTCGCGACTTCACGAAGGATCTTATTTTTCAAGATGCGACAACAAGATTGATCTTGATCTGTGATGCTTTTTGTTTTCCTTCTTTTGGTGTTCATCCATCTTGGTTCTTTCAAGATTTACACCATTTGAATTTACATGATGTGTGTAACCATAAATTTCCATATCTCATAGATCTGCATCATATCCAAAGAAAAAACTTTTGATTCTATCTTTCCAATGGTTAAACTTTTCTCCATCAAAGATTGGAAGTTTAGTAGAATGAGAATCTTTATTGTTGTTTCTTGTGGATGTCATATTGTGTTTCTAAAAGTGGATCTTTATCTGACACGCTTAAGTGTTTGACACGAAAGAGTCAATACTAGAACCGAAGCTTTGATGTCAATTGAAGGTACAAGAAGAACAAGAAATAGGGTTTGAATTGGGTTTCAGATATGATAACTTTTTCACAAACCAATCACAAACCAAAGGCACGAACAACAAAGATTAAAATAAACAATGATTTTTGTACCAGTTCACCGTTAACTAGGTTAGTCCAGTTCACTCGCCAGAGATTTCGCCTTCTTACAAGGACTTAATCCATTAATCAATTAGATTACACCATCAAAGACTAATTTTCATTGACTTCTCAAGGCTAATGACTAAACTTTGTCCCTTAAGAATAAATTCAAAGACTAATTGTCAATGAATTCTTGAGGTTGCACACTAAACTTAGTCCCTCAAGAAATTTACACAAAGTTTCAATACAATGATATATGTTTATAAGAATGCTTCTTAACAAGCAGATACACACAATAAAATTAACAGTTTACACTTAAGAAAATATACAAATGAAAAGATCTAAGTGTAATAAGTGTTATTATTTTCTTTTCGATGTTGAATGTCACTATTGTCGTGTGTTGCTTTCGTTGTTTTCCATAATTCTTTTGTCCTCTTTATATAGACGATGAATAATACCGTTAGAGGATAGATTTGGAAACATCTTTAATTCTATAGTGGTAATAGTGGTACGAGGTTGAGCCATGAAACGTGGAGTACTGTTGGTAGTACATTCCTTAATAACTCCAGCATATTTGTACTTTAAGGAAACATTTGATTTTGCCGCTTGAATGTACGATTATCAGGAACATTATTTCAATCATTGTTCTAAATCATTGGCTTCATATTAGAACATATTTGAAGCTTAATCAGAGTTCGAAGTCTTCAAGATAGACTTCAGAGTCTAGGGAATATGAGGCTTTAATCTATCATAGTAAGTCTAGATTGTTTACTTCAGAAGCGTTGACTGGGATACAAGGAGTTGACTTTAATTAAGTACTTCTTTGTATTCTAGCTTTGGTTTAGATTATGATGGAGTCTAGAGTCCATAGTCTGATGAAGTCCAGAGTCCAAAATTTCTTTATCCAAAGTTAAGAGTCTGTTTTGTTCAGCTTTGTTCAGAGTCTGCTTTATTCAGCATCTAGCTTGTTCATAGTCTGCTTTATCCAGCATCTGACTTGTTCAGAGTCTGCTTTATCCAACATCTGCCTTATTAAAATTTTGCATACTTAACAAACTATTTAGAGTACAAAATTTTTCTTTATACTTTATTATCATCAAAACTCAAGGATTGTAGATGTGTAACCAAACTTGTTCCAACGACACACATAGAGACAATATTTTGAAACCTCTCTAATTTTATAAAACACCTAAAATTAATTTTATGTGCCCTTAATCAATTATTGACTTATTTAATCAATTCTGAGAGTTTTTTTATGACTTGTTAATTGATTGTCATATTAGGATTTAATCGATTAACACATTTTTAACACTTTTAATCGATTAGAGTAGCCTTTAATCGATTAATGACAATGCAATTCAAAAAATTTCATATTAGAGTTGTCTAATCGATTAACAAGTAGGGTTAATCGATTTAGACATTAAAAATGCCCATGAATCATTTCCTTTTAAGCCAATTCTTATCTTACAAATAGAAAGGGTTTCTCTTCATTCTGTTCCACACTAGATTTCAAAGTTGAAACTCTTTTATCTCACGTTATGCTCATTTTTTTTTATTTCTTCAATAAAGTTGCCTTAGTGTCTAGTGAGTGAAAAATACTAAAGTTGCCTTAGTGTCTAGTGAGTGAAAAATACTTGTGAGATTTTTTGTACTGGTGATGTGCTGAGTTTATATTTCACTCAAAAATGTATTCTTTCTTGAGTTGGATCATTGTAAAAAGTCATTGTTTGGTTCTTGAGTTTAATTTGTTAAAATCTCGTTTGATTTTTGAGATTTGCCTTTGAAAATATATGTTTATTTTTTAACATTAGCTTTGTAAAATCTCGGTTTGGTTATTGAGTTTAGCCTATAAAAAATTTGGTTTGGTTCATGAGCCCAACCTAAAAAAAAACTTTTTTTGGTTCGTGAGATTTGCCTATTAAAAATTCTTGTTTGATTTGTGATATTAGCCGGTTGAAATCTTCGTTTGTTTGATTATAAGAGGTTCATAAACATTACCTATAAAAAAAATTCACATCTCAATTTAGTAGAACTCTTGTAAGAAAACTTTGGAAGGCATGAAAGGCCAAATGTTTAGATTGAACATGTATAAATCTCTAGTATATTTTTTCTTTCTCTGAGCTCTTTATTTTCAATTGCTTTATTTTCTTTACAATGTATTCTTTTTCTTCTTTCCATCTCTTCTTCATTTATTCTTTTATCTATTCTATTACTTATTCTCTGGTTGTTTTATAAATTATCTTAGAACAAATTTTATAAATTAATTTTCTGTACACGATACTCATCTATCTTGATAGCTCCATCCACACAATACTCATCTATTTTTTACTCATCTATCTTATTTTTAACATTAGCTTTGTAAAATCTCGGTTTGGTTATTGAGTTTAGCCTATAAAAAATTTGGTTTGGTTCATGAGCCCAACCTAAAAAAAAAACTTTTTTTGATTCGTGAGATTTGCCTATTAAAAATTCTTGTTTGATTTGTGATATTAGCCGGTTGAAATCTTCATTTGTTTGATTATAAGAGGTTCATAAACATTACCTATAAAAAAAATTCACATCTCAATTTAGTAGAACTCTTGTAAGAAAACTTTGGAAGGCATGAAAGGCCAAATGTTTAGATTAAACATGTATAAATCTCTAGTATATTTTTTCTTTCTCTTAGCTCTTTATTTTCAATTGCTTTATTTTCTTTACAATGTATTATTTTTCTTCTTTCCATCTCTTCTTCATTTATTCTTTTATCTATTCTATTACTTATTCTCTGGTTGTTTTATAAATTATCTTAGAACAAATTTTATAAATTAATTTTCTGTACACGATACTCATCTATCTTGATAGCTCCATCCACACGATACTCATCTATCTTAATTTTTTACTTGCAACCCACCATAACCGTATTGAAGGGAAGGCAGATGAGCGTGTGACGTATTATAGGACCCTAACCTTTGTCTATAAGCTATTAGATCCAAGCAACAAGCTTTCAGAGTCTTCGATCTTTGGAGAAAACATTGGTGGAAGGGTATGAATGGTTTGGGACTCTTCAAGCAAGTTGAGGATGGGGTTGTGAGAAACGCTGGAAGGAAGGGGAGAGGAAGTCAAAGTGATGAGTAGAAGGTTTTTCTTTTTTAAAAAGGAGAACATAAAAATGGGGTGGTGGGAATAACATTAGTAAAACTCCTTTTGTTAATGTTGTCAAAATAGAGCTTTGGGGAGAGTCAAGTACTGATTAAAATGTACTCTCTTTGTTTTCACATAAGAAAAATATACTTAAGAGCCATTTCAGTAAAAAAAATTAAAAGAAAAAAAAAAACAGTAATGGTTGTTCAGTCGATTGCCGCATAGGTAATTTACATAGTAAAGATATGTCTTTCTCGAGCTGCAACTCACAACACTGCAGGTGCTTTAACTAATCTAAATCTGTTACTTGATGGAAAAGTGATAAATTTGATTCCAGATATCGTGATCAAATCGTTTTTAATAAGTTATTCAAAAGATGTTCACAAAAATACTAAACTAAGGATATGATCATAGAATAGAAGAGTGAAATAGATTAAATAGTGCAAAAGAATATGATCATCATAGGATAGAAGTGTGAAATAGATAAATAATGCAAAAGGATCATTATGCCATGTTACATGTATTTCTCTACCCTATCAGAAATGCTGAAGAAGACTGACAAAAGCAATCTAAGCTGTAAGAATCTCAGCCCATGGAATCAATCACGGTGCCTTTAGAGCTCAAACCATTACAACCCTCAAACCTTATGCAGCTGCACTTGGCACTGGTACAGATTTTGAGTCTTCTGCCCTTTCATGTTCTTTGTTGAGCATCTAAAATTATATTTCAAATATTAAGTCATAAAATAGCAATGAATCCTAAATATAACATGATAATGAATCCTAGATACAGAGGCAAAATAAGAAAAGATCAATAATAACTTCATCCAAACTTCAGGATAGTGAATCTCACCTTGTTGTTAATCAAGTTGTGGAGTGCAATTACACTTCTAATGAGAGATGATAGATATATAACCAGCATCATATCATTGGTTTTCACTACACATATAGGGCAGGGATCAACAATTTAGAAGAGATGTTCAGAAAAAACATCATATTCATCCAATTAAATCATAAATCTTTACCTGCAAAAGCCTTGATAAGATCAGAGACATTAAGATTTGGTAGCAGGTTGAACACATCCTAACAAATTGAAACAAGAAATTAGATGGTGAAAAAACAATAAGGGAGCAAAAGCAACAATAAACATTGATCCACATTCACAAGCGATTTGATAACAAAGCCAACTGATTAGTATTTAATATGCAAGATCATGAAAAACAAACCTGTAGATGGTATAGGATTTCATGGTTTAAGGGAAGCTTTTCATCAATTACAAGATCAAGGTAACTCCTTATCTCTTTAAGCCTTGCATCCAAACCTTTCAAGGCTGTGAGTTTCCCACTCACCTATGTAAAAAACTACAGTGTAAGCACTCTGCATTCATTTTCTCTCCACTAAAATGAACCAGACACATTACAGGGGGAAAATCATATAAAAATAGATAGCATCGTGAAAAAGGAAATAAACAAAAAGAAATTTAAAAAATAACGATATGTTTAAGGAAAAAAACCTCGGTTGCAAGGGTGCTGATGGTTGTATCCTTTACATCCCTAAGCAAGTGTTCCACTCCTGCACAAGGATAAGAAGAATTCATAAAACAAAATCTTCAGTCAGTGTCTAAATGGATAAAATTCAAAAGTCTAAAGAAAACAAACCAAAATGAACCATAGCAGTTTTACATTAAATGCTATACCTATTTCCTCAACCTCATGAGCAGCTATCTCTGATTGCACATGTACAAAGACCTTTTGGCTTTTCTGAGTAGCATTCTGCATTCAGGATAAACTATTTATCAGTTCCCTTGTCTAGGGATTAAGCTTCAAGCAAATATTAGTTCTTCTCCCCACCGTCTTATATACAGAAGAGCCATGTTTGCAATAATATCAATGAAAATTAAAGTTTAATATTTTTATCATAGATACAAAGGACTTAAACTCTACCTCTTTAACTTCCTCAACAGCATAGTATGCTTTTGTTGGAATTCCCAACTCCTTAGGTTCAACATCAATTATAACCAACACTGGATTTGGAACATAGCTGCAACAGTATTAAGCATGATCAATTTGGATAAACATTGATCTGGGATACAGAGCACAGATGAAGACAATAAGGCCAATAAAGAGGAAAACAAGATAACAGTAACACAGATATGTCGAATAAAGTCCCAACCAAACCATGCCAATCTTTTCACAAGGGTAAATGGATAAAGAACTTGCTAAGCCGCTAAATTTGCAAATATTTTTTGGGAGATATTGATGCTAAAATGAAATAAAAGCATGTATTGAAACATCACTAAACAGGATTTCAGTTCATTAAACATACTCATTAAATAACCCATGAATGTCGAGGTCATTTTCACGCAATTTTGGACCTGTGCTATACCACCCCACGACGTGCTCCTTTGCTGTAAACAGTGTTTGTTTAAATCAGATATTCAGTGGAGAGAATGATACTAGCAATTGAGAATATACCAACTCATACCGTTTATTCTCTTAAACATGGAAAACATTGCTTCATGGTAGTTGTGGTCTAGAAACCAAATGCTAGGATCCTTGTCATCTTCTTCAAAGGGCACTGTTGATTAGATAACCAATTAGCAAGAGATATACAATAAACATACTATATATGCTGATTATATTTCTAACCCACATAGATGGAATCATCTAAACTAAAGTTATAATGCAAATACTGATCGTGCACCTTCAAGGCTTCAATTGGATATCCAACTAAGTAAACAGACCAATGGAGCAACTAGTGTCCCGAGAAACTTCATAATTCCTTTATAAGTACTATATAACAAACATGTCAATTTAATAAGAATTCACAACTACACGGGGGCGGTCAAAAGTCATCAAGAATTCTTTGAAATTATCAATAAGACAATGAATACAAAGTAGTAAATCCCGGATAGCGGCACAGAGCGGCCGACCTCAAAAATGGGATAGGGGAATGGCGTATAGCGGGATGGCCTTTATTTGACAATTTTTTGGATGAAGTGCAGAGGGAAGAACGATGTGCAGAGAGAGGTAAAGGAGGAACTTGTGATTCTTCATTGGAACGGCTGAAGTGCAAAAACGACGGTGAAGGGAGGTTAGGCTGGAGTCTCAACTCAAATTTGATTGAAAACCCCAAAATTACGCTTAAAACGTTTTAAATTTAAGGGGTAATTTCGGTCTTTCAGAAAAGAAAATGATGGCGGGACAGAAACCGCTCCGCCCCTGCTACCCGCTATTTACCCTATAGCAGCCACTATAGTGTTCTGCACCGCTAAGACTCTTCCCATAGAAGCCGGCCTCCGATCCACTTCGCTACAGCGAGATAGCACCGCTATTGACAACTCTGAATAAAAAGCCTATAAAAATTCTTCAACCATCAAACAGAACTGTCATATAGATTCAACTATCACACAGAAATGTCATACAAATTTGATTTAATCTTAAGTTGGCTGTTTACTTCCTAGCCTACCAAACACACTCCTTCAACCATCACACACTAAACGGTCAAGATTCTACTAAGTTTTATATAGGCTGTCCAAGACCTAACATAACCATTCAATCACCACATAGAACTACATGATCTATACTATAAAGAAAATTAAGGTTCAACTCATTGCTAAATCACACCTCATAGAATTGCCAATAACTATGTGCATTACATAGAATAGGTAACAGGTGGACCAAAACAGAAGGTTAGACTTACACATACACTACTCCTAAGCCAGAAATCAGTTCTGGATTCAAATGTAGCAAATCTTAAGAAAGTTACATTAACTCTTCACATGGATCAGTTGAATTCAAATGAACATAAACTATACCTTTTCTTGCTAAAATTAGGGCACAAAATGTCACAAAAAACAAAAGCATTGACATTGAGTGAAATAAGTAAATAACAAATAAACAATGTAAAGTGGAGTTGGAAAAGAAAAAAGATCCGAACCAGCGTAACTGTTGGAAACGTCAACGGTGCCTTTGAAAGTGGAACCTAGCAAAACGCCGACGACGCGCTTGCGTGTGTCCTTGGCGACTCTGTTGTAGTTGTCGACGATGCTGAGCAAGACTAATGGATGAACCACCACCTTCTCGATCGATCGAGATGAGATTTGCTGCGTTTTGATCACATCCATCGTGAATTTGAAGCTTGGATTTCACTCTTTTTCGTCGGAATCAACTGTTTTCTTTCTCTTCAATTTTCCCTCTGCTTCACCGGTTACTAGTACTACCCTCTTTTTACTTCTCTTTTTCTTTTCAATTCTTTTCGTGTTGGACACGAATACGAGATCTGTACTGGACTTTTTCTTTCTTTCTAGAGGCCCAATTAGTGTTCAAATTGAATTGGGCCAATGGCCCATTGTTTAAATCAAATTATCTAAAGTTTGATGGGAAAATTTCACCCCATATCTTTCCATTATCCCCAACCTTTATTAGGTATGTAGTTTTTCTTTATTGAATAAGTTGCAATCAAATATTTTGATAATGTTGTATGTTCATAGGATAACTTACATAAAAAGTATCGGGTATTACAATCTTTACCAAATAACTTGGTTATAAGTTTGTTAGTAGTTTTCATGATGTTCATCAGATAACTTACCTATAAGTTATTAGAAATACAATTTTTTAAATTTTTTGACACATAAGATATATCAAGGAGGTTGGAATCACACATAAAGTGATTGTTATCATTACTCATTCAGATACTGAAAAGGAAAAAAGAGGGAGAAGAAATAAATTAATCTTTTGTTGTGATAGAGGTTAAAAATATAAGGAAATGGATAATGCAACACAAAGTGTGACTAAAAAATGCGGGTCTCCATTTCAAATTAGATCAACACCATCTAAAGATAGTTAAAGATGAAAAATTGATATAAGATATGGACTCCACAACCACTATTTACTTGATATATTTGAAGGTCATACATTTATTGGTGGTATACATTTAGATGATATGCAACATGTTAGTGATTTGACATAACATCATGTCCCAATATATAAACATAAGAGTAAATTACGAAGAGAGACCAAAAATTCTAGAACTGAGATACAACATTTGGTTAAGATGACGGATGGTGCAAATTACGTTTAGTATAGTAGAAGAAGAGATGAATTAAATTGTTGGTGTGACATCAATTGAGTTGACATTTCCTGTTATATTTGTCTATATGGAATCTGAGCGGACTAAAAAAATTTGTTTGGTATTGGATAGGTTGAAAAAACTTTTTAGAATGGACGGGACTAGACCGCAAGTGATTCTGATTGATAGAGATCTTGATTTGATGAAAGCAATTGAAGTTGTGTTTCTAAGGACAATTAATTTTCTTTGTCAATGTCACATCAATAAAAAATTTGTTGTCACGTCCTTGGCGCATCGAACTCCCTTTCCTACGCCTCTACGAGAAATAATTCTTGGAAAAGTAAGGTTTAGGATTTGTTGGCTCAACAAAGTTTATAGAAGGCGTCGTGTGAGATGAAACTGACAGACATGTTGGATACCGATTAGGCAAAGATATAGGATAATGCCAAAAGCTTGAGTCACCTATGTATTTTATACGAGGATATGCATCATATCTCATATCACTACTATAAACAATGCTTATAATGTCGCACACGAAAGAGATGGAACCTCAGCTACCCAGCTGACGTAACGAATGGTGACATAAAAAGTTTCCACTTAACACCTCGGTTAATTGAAAGCCGAGGGGTAAAGTTATATGATCATGGGTTCGAACCCCAACATTTGAATTTTTATTATTTACACAAACAACTCCTCAAACCTCTAGGTTTATTTAAAAACAGAGGGGTTAGATGGTTTTTTTAAAAAACAAATTTATTACATTGTTTACAAACTACATTATTTACACAAAATATTACATTGTTTACACAAAACATTAAAGTAAAAATGTTGTTCTTCATTGTCATCACTATCGGTGAAGAACAAATGTTGGATATCTTTAAGAAGAGAAAATGTTGGAGATTCTTGTTTCATTGATCTTAAGGAAGATCAAATGTTGAATGCAATATATTATTTTCTATGACTTTTGCATTCATTTTTTTTCCTGATGTTAAAAAAAAGGTTAGTTAAAAGTCATATATTCTCTATGAATTTTGCATTCATTGTCATCATTGTCGGTGAAGAACAAATGTCGGGATATCTTGGAGAAGAGAAAATGTTGGAGATCCTCGTTTTATTGATCTTGAGGAAGATCAAATATTGAATGCAATATATTCTCTATGATTTTTGCATTCATTTGTTTCTAATATTACAAAAAAAAGTTAGTTAAATAAAATAAATATACAATTATATGATTATTTAAGAATACAAAACTTAAACCCATATTATTTTCTACGCTTGCAATTCATTGCTAATGGCAAAAGTTAAAGTGGAGGATGTAAATAGTTTCAATCACTCCACGACGTTTCTTTATCAATTTTAGATATTAGAAAGTCTTTATAATAGAATTTTTTTAGGAATCACGCAGATCACTGATGGTAGTTTCTTGAGCGTCGATAATCTTGAAATAAATGACAAAGATTTGTTTAAGAACGCTAAGTTATCCCCTCGATTTCTATAAAAATCAAGGTGAACATGTTTTTTTAAATTACATTGTTTATCCATAATATTGAATAAAAACAATACATCAAAACCAGAACTGTGATGTAAGAAGTTATCTGATCCAAATATTACACGCATCCAATTTCTAAAGAGTTATCTGATCTCAACATTGAATGCATCCAACTTCTATTGAAAAAATATTTTTCTGCACTTGCAGTCCATCATAGAGAACTTTTACAAGCTTCTAAATACAACAACAACAACAACAACAAAAACAACATCAACCCCATTTTGTAAGATGGATCCCAAAAGAATGATGTGATTTCTATTTATAATGAATTTGGAGCGGCTATATATAAGTTAGATTTAGGTAAAATTTGTCTAATAAGTGCTTTTATAGTAAAATGTTACGTATCTTATACCTCGTTTATTAGAGAAGCCGGCGAGATATATCCTTTAGTTTACAAAAAGTTATAATAAATAAAAATAGTTTCCTAATTGTTTTTCCCCTCAGAGTTTTTGAAAAACTGAGATAACATGTGATTTCTATTTCTAAAAAAAATCATGGCACACATTGAAATCATATCCACTAGAGTAGCAATGATTATCCATATTCAAAAATTTAATGTATCTTTTGGATTTTCAAGGCGTTTTACCTTCTCTGATTATTTCACTTCCTATTTTCATCTCCACTTTATTTAAACATTATTTCTTGTTTCCAACTCTTTGTTTCTTCAAACCTATTCTCAAAGTCTTTTCTTTTCTTCAAAAATGTCTTCAACAATTTTAGATGAAAATATTTTGTTCGTAATCAATAAAAAGTTTGTTTATTTCGATGGTTTGAAAGACAAATGTTTTGATCTAAGGAAAACTATTTACAAACAAAAGTTGAACAATTACTTTGACATTCTTAATTGACCCATCTACATTAATCTTGTTAAAGAGTTATGGTTAAATGCCTCAGTTGGGCCACCTGGCCATGATGTCGAGTCAATCCAGTTCTATGTCAATGGCTTTTCTGTCATAATTACTCAGTCACTTATTGCTCAAACAATATAATATGAAGAGAAAGGTGTTTGTGTTGAACATTATAGATTCAACAATGTCTATAAAGATCTCATTCGCCTAATTTACGCAACCAACAATAATCTCAGTGGTCCTGTTAGTCTATGACGAATTGCAAAAGTTTTGTATCAACTTTTAGTGTCAAATCACCGTCCAAGAGAGAAAGAACTGAAAACACTTACTTGGAATTACAAACATCTTTTGTTATTCCCTACCAAGAAAATCATATTTAATCTTCCTTTTACCATTTTTAATTACTTAAAGAAAATGATAATCATCTCTAGGAATAAAATGACTTTCCTCATACCATATGAAAGAGTTCTTTTTGAACTTTTCACTAAGTTAAGGATAGGTAGTATTGATACTATTGAAGTTGAGTGGAGTAAAAAATTTGAATATGTGGAATAGTTATTTGTTATCCCGTTTTTAATTAATGAAATATTTCCTTTCATATTATTTTCTGTTCATTTTTATTGATAACAAAAATGTTTTAGAATTACTAATTACAAAGGAAAAAATGAGAGAAAAATAATTAACTAAGAAAAAAGGGAAGAGTGGAAGGCGCCAAGTGAGAAATCATTGAAAAAACATTAAATGCAATTACTGGGATTCAAAGCGTCTTCCCTGATAGCAATGTTACCTCAGTTTTAAAAAAACACCGAGGTATTGTGTTTAATATTTTTTTCAAGAAGAGTTGACGCTCACTTATTACTATATTATATAAAATCGAGGGGGAAAATTGTTTAAAAAAAACCAAACTTGTCGCTCCTAGGACCTATAAGCTCGGTGTTTGGCATGTTCGAGGTGAAATCTCCGTCATAAAAAGTATTATTTGTAGTTGTGTATATAACAATGTTGAAGAAGGTTTGGTAAAAATTGAAGAGACAATATATGTCAAACAAATTGTTTGCGAAGCAGCGACTACACATTCTGAAGATGTATGAAGGATCCGATTTTCAAAGACAGTTCAACGTATTCAACAACAAAATCATTGATCTTGTGAGACTTGGGGTAAAGATTGATGACGAGGTTCTTATGGACATTTGGTGACTACTCTTATCTATAGGAAATACACTTTCAATCTTGATGTGATTATTGTCACACTTTTGTCTCATTTTCAAAAGAGACAATGTGTGAGAAAAGAAGTCAAGGAGATAATGTGTATGTGAAGGGGAGTTCAAGATTAGAGGCAAAACAAGGATAAAGCAGGTTCTAGAATGAAGATGTATAAATCCAAGAAATGAGAAACAATCGAGTGCTATAATTGCAAATATATTGGTAATTGGAAAAGGTAATGTCCAAACAGAAAACACGGCTCATCCAATTTTTCAAATGTAGTTCAAATTGATGATTTTAGCATTGAAGCAGATATAATGTGTGTTTCATCCAACAAGTATAGAGATGTGTGCATTCTTAACTCTTGTTGTTCTTAGCGTATGACGTCACACTAGAAATGGTTAAGTGCATTCAAATCATGTAATTTTGAATTTATTTATCTGGGTGATGATAATG